GTTTTCTGAAATGCATGAATGAGCTGGATGTTGACATGGGGTGGCCTATGTGACTGCAGGCTTGGGCACAGCGCTGCGTACACCCACAGCTCCAACAAGGGCAGCTCTCCACTCGAAGGGCAAGACCCGTGGGGCTTCAATTATTGTAATAGGTTAGTGACTGAGGACCCCGCTTAGGAAAATGAATTGCAGAGTTCAGTATGAAGCAAATGGGCCTTCTGAAATTCAATTCATATTGGTCCATAAATCAGACAACCCTGGGTCAAAACAAATTTATGAAAAGACAGGCATCTCTCCCATGTAAAATTCCAGAATAAATGTGGAATTTAGAACTTTATCATTTGGGTTTCTACTAACAACAGTATGTCTTGTGTATTTTTATTGTTTTAGAGAGAGAAAGCATGTGCACATGCAAGTAGTGGGGAGCGGCAGATGGAGGGAGGGAAAGAGAGAGGAAGAGGGAGAGGAAGAGGGAGAGAGAGAGAGAGAGAGAGAGAGAGAGAATCTGAAGCAGGCTCCATGCTGAGCTGGAGCCTGACCTTGGGATCATGACCTGAGCCCAAATCAAGACTCAGATGCTCAACTAACAGATGCGCCCCTATGTCCAGTTTTTAAAAGGGAGCATGCTTAAATGAATTCTGAAACTAACTTAAAAAAAAAACAAAAACCATGCACTCAAAATGCAAGAGAAAGTGTGCTTTCTTCATCGAGGCAAGGTAAGTCACTTAAACATAAAGCTGTATTCTGGAGGAGGGGAGCGTAATATTGCCAGTGTCTAGATTTCGAGTGAAATCTGAAAACGCAGTAATGTTTGGCGGAGAGAGCATCATCCACGCCCCACAGATTACCATAAGGCCTCCTCGCGCAAGGCTACGCAACTTACGTACGCGTACGCAAGTCACGCAAGGCTGCAGCCCTGATAGCCATGCAAGGCATGGAATACACAGAAACCAGGAAGGAAAATCTGCTTGACACTGGATACACATTTAGGTTCTGCCGTTAATGCTCCAAAAAAACCTCAGTAATATAATAAAATGCATTCAATGGTATTTTCCCCAGACATTACACTTTTCTAGATGTATCGCCTGGGTCCTGGTGAAGTCAGCGGAGAAGAGCTTTCAGAAGAAAAGGGGAAATCCCCCACCTCCAGTGTCTCTTAATTTCCAAACGACTTCAAGTCGTAAACACAATGCAGGAATCACACATTTTATAGGAGACCCTTTCTGTGACAAGTCAAGCAGAGATGATGTCTACATTCCATGTCCCATTTGTAAGTCCATGAATCTAGTCATGATTCTGAGGTAAGAAAGGAAATAGTAACAGAGTCTACAATTATTTCCAGGACACTTGAAACAATGTGAGTTTCTATACTCTGTCTACACTGCCAAACCATACACTGTGGATAATGCCCTGAAAGTTAAGTAGGGGAAGCTAAAGCCTGCAGTTAACAAGCTGGGTTCTAACGGATGCATTTCAGTACATATTTATAAGGCTTGGTGGTTATTATTAGGCTGTAATTGTAGTTGTTCTAACACCTAATAAGCCATGGTTGGAAAAACAAAGGCAGGTTAATTTGTGATTTCCTCTACTCATTCAGAGGCAAATTAAGTGTCAAACAGCTAATACAGAACATATTTCATTTTATGAGATTTTAATTTAATTCTGCACCATATCGTTGATGCCTTAATATGGGGTGGTTTATCTAAAAAGAGAAGCAATTTATAAACCTCTTTCAATAGAATCTTTAATGATAGGATATGATAGCATAATTATCGCAGCGCCTGCCATCCTTCTAAACAGAGATCTGTCACTATCTCCATCATCAACACAAATCCTGTTTTCAAGAGACTTATAATTTAATTTTTAAAGCTGGCACCAGAAGGACAATTATGTGTACAAAATAATGAGAATATCCTCAAATTCTGTCTTCTTATAATTAAAAATGTTTATTCTAAAAACTTTGTGAGCTCACTCGATCTCATTTTCTATGAGAAAATTATACAGCAAGCATGTTGGAACTCACATTCTAGATGAAACCAATTTTTCCCCAGGATACTGCTTTACCCCTCAGCATAGATGTGCTTTTTTTTTCTTTTTAATTTTTTTAATTTTTTTTTTTTGAGAGAGAGAGACAGCATGCATGCACAAGTGGGAGAGGGGCAGAGAAGGGGAGACAGAGAACAGAAGCAGTCTCCATGCTGACAGCAGAGCCTGATGGGGGGTTCGAACTCACAAACCATGACCTGAGCTGAAGTCAGATCCCCAAATGACTGAGCCACCCAGGCACCCCCAAAGGTGTTGTAAGATTCCAGCCACCAAGCCATGCTTGCCTAGATTACTCTCCACTCCTAAAATGATCTCACGGGAGTCTACTCATGGCACCTCAGAAGGCGCAAAAGGCGAGGCCAGTGCTTCTGAGGCCCCCACCTCCCCAAATGTTAACTCCCAATGTTTGTTTGGAGCTCTGTGTTCTTAAGAGCCCTCATGTGAACATGACTTCATTGACCTCTTCCAGCAAACTGGGAAGTCGGGTAAGGCAGAAACCGCATCTCCAGGGGATGAAACCAATCCTCTCGACGGTACGTTACCAGGGTCCCCAGCACAGGCGAGTGTGAATAAAGCAAGAGTGGGGGCTGGAGCTCATCACGACTCCCAGATGGACCACCTGAGTGCTACCGAGCACCTTTCCCACAAGGTACCTTGGCGGGGTGCTGGGTACTGCCTGCAAAACTAACAGGCAGTGACCCCTGCACAGTAAACCACCTGGCAAGCGGGTCCACACTATAGTCAAGGCCCACATGACGAGCTCTGAGGAACAGCCTTGAGGGAGAGCCAGCAGGTGATACCTGAATTAGGACTTGAGGATGAGCGGTTTTAAGCAGGAGCCTGCCACACAGCCAGAGGAGGCCACTAAGGGCAATGCAGAGAGAACGTCTTGCTACAAAGGCACACGGGAGAGGTGTCCCCTGGCCTCCTCGAGCCAACTGCGTAAGCTCAGTGTCCCCATCCAGAACCCTGCTAAGGACCAGCGGTCCCAGGGGGTCCCGGGGGCTCCCCTGTGGGCCTCAGGATTATCTACTGGCCTTGTATTAGGCATTTTCAACAACTCTCCATTCAGGCAGCTAGAGAACAATTTAGTCCATTGCTGTGAAAGCATCCGAAGGCTTGGCTAGAGCAGAAGTCCCAAAACCTATAAAACCCGCAGCTCAGCTCAGCAGCCATACCTGAGACGCAACCCCAACCCCAGCACTTCCCATGCCCGACCTGCCTCACCTTGTGGTGTTGCTATCACAGGTGAACTAATACTGGAGGTACAGCCATCAGACCTAGGACGCAGGTGGGGGCGACATGAGCTACGGTATTCTGCCGAAGAGCCAAGGCTTGGGATTTTCATTAGTATGCTCATATTTGAATTTAATAACAAGGCAAATTATAATGAACCCTTGGAATTCGTTCGTTCGGTCATATAAACTCATTTTGGTATGTAGGGGGGTAATTTCGCTCTATGGGGTTTTTGAAAGAGTGAACAATTCCGAAATTCTACAGAAAGTCTGATTTAAGTCACCACACCACAGAGACTGGAGTCTGGGAGGAATCGGCCGTCTGCATCCCCAAGGCGGATCTGGCCGTCGCTGGCTCCATACCACGGGGCAGAGTCCCGTCAGAGACCTTTGTGGTCTCGTCTGCCCCACAAAACCTCCATACGATGGGGTGAGATGCATGGCAGGTTTCAGCCTGGATTTGGCATTTCCTTCCCTTTCTATAGGGGTTTTTAATTGGCCTCATGGTTTTATTGGAGTATATTTTTAGCAGGCCTCGGAACCCTGTAAATACTTACTTGTGTTCCAGTGAAAAGTCAAAGAATAAGTCACAAGTTTCTGTATTCTCTCACTATAAATACCCACTTCTCCGTTAATGCTTATGGAAGTCTGCAACACAGATTTATTACTTACCTCCAGGCAAATCTGCTCTGAAATTACAATTCAATAATGGGGGATGGATCCAAAAAACTGTTGGTAAAATATTATATGTGTACTTGGGCATGTAGTTACGGCTGTTAATATCAATTAATTCTGTTCACAGAGGAGGACTTGTTTTAAAACAACTTCATTTTTCTTTGGCATATACGTAATTACACAGCTTAACTAATAGCCATGGAGATGCAATCTACCATCTAAATAACCAGCATTATTCTTCAAAGTATTATTTGTGCTTTTCTAACTTTACTGTCTCAGGATGAAGGGTGATTACCAGATCTAACTAAATGCATATATCAAGGCCTTTAGTGAGGGCTAGCCCCTCTCAGACCGCAGCTCCAGTAATTTCAGTATCTGACAATTTTTCTGGACATGACTACCACATAAATACCACTGCAGTTTGCAAGTCCACCTCTCTACCCCCACACTGAGTGAGATAATATTTATTTCCAGAAAACGTTCTCCTTTCTTTTCTAACGTACATTATCAAAGTCATGCGCTCCTCTTATCTTTGTGTAAATCACATGGGAGATCACATGCGCCATTTTGTTTGGGAGACATTCCCATCTATCAAATCACTGTTGGTGAACGCACCGTGGGGGCAACGAAAATTTACCACAGCATTTTCATTACAATTCATTGGCGAGTGCTAGGACTCGCCAGGTAACGGGGTTTTAGCAGGAAAAACTTCAAACCCAGTCTCTTGCAGATCCATATTCTGAGCGGTAACTTTCCATTAGGCCCTTACTTTTTTAATTTAGTATTTACAGCCCACAGAACACACGTCAGCAAAATATATAGTGAATACTTGCCAGCCACCTAGTGTGGCAGACATTCTTCAGGACAGTGGGGATTTGCTTCAGTGCGTCCAGGGACAGATAGGCTTGCCGTATTTCAAAAGTAAATCTTCTACTTCTATTACACCTTCGAAGCCCAGTAGCCACACTGGTAACAGAAAGTCATGAGACAGTAAAAGCTAATATCCCGTTCTGCTTTGTTAATGGGTAAAATTTTATTACTTACACATGCAATGGAGGAATCGGAGACGGGTCGTAATGGTAACGCCCCTCATGATGTCTTGCATCAATTGGTACAGGAGGGTGGAATGCAGGAAAGAGATGAGAAGGGTCTGAAAAAGAAAGAAAATCCAACACGTGTAAGAGGGATGCCCAAAACAGAATCCCAGCCCATGACACAACGTGTCATTTGTGTTTCTTCACAACGTGGGTGGAGTCCATTTTAAGAATTTGTGGAAGAACTCTTTGAAGTTCATTATGACGCTACGGGGTACTACAGAAGTATGACCAAGTACACAGTACCTAAGAAAGTGGAGGCTAGGAATGCAATAAACCCAGACAGGAAAGCAAGAGGGGAACAATGCATGTCCCACTCAGGGAGAAGGCCAGGCGGAAAAAAAAAAAAGGCTGAAAGGAGCCACAAAACCAAAACCAAAAGGAATGGATGACAAGACTCCTATTTTCTTTAAAATTGTACTGTCAGGTGAAATTTAGACAAAGATGTAATATGTATGGATCCATCTCCTGTATCCATGATGCTTTTTTTTAATAGATTTTTAATATATATATATATATATATATTTTTATTTCTAGGAGAGAGAGAGAGAGAGAGACAGAGTGAGCAGGGAAGGGTCAGAGAGAGAGGGAGTCACAGACTGAAACAGGCTCCAGGCTCTGAGCTGGCAGTCAGCACAGAACCCGACGCGGGGCTCGAACCCACGAACCGCAAGATTATGACCTAAGCGAAAGTCGGATGCCCAACCGACTAAGCCACCCAGGCGCCCTCCATGATGCTTTTTTAAGTTAGAAGCAAAATTTTTAAAGTTCCTGCTTGAATGAATGGGTCTACATACGTGTATGCATGTACTTACATATATGTGTATAGTACACACACTATTTTAAAGTTTGAATGCACACTCGCCTCCTTCCTGTCCTGGGCCAGACCTCCACAGCTCCACGCAAGGGCAAGGGCAGCAAATCTACAGGCTAGCCAGAGAAACGCTACAGGGCCCGGCCGGAAGAGGTGAGCTGACCCTCTCGGGCTGACAGAGGACCAGCGTCCCTCCTGCCCTGGCTCAGGATGGCGTTCAGAGTTTTCCGGGTGCTTGTGTGTGCACTCACTTCCGGCCGCTCCTCTACTCCCCGTTACCACAGTAACACAAGCTCAGTGTGTCTCAACCTCAACAAAAGCTTCCCCCCCAAATAGTGGTTCACTGCAAAAGCTAAAGAGAATTGGGGCGCCTGGGTGGCTCAGTCGGTTGAGTGTCTGACTTCAGCTCAGGTCATGATCTCGCAGTTCGTGGGTTCGAGCCCCGCGTCGGGCTCTGTGCTGACAGCTCAGAGCCTGGAGCCTGCTTCAGATTCTGTGTCTCCCTCTCTCTCTGCCCCTCCCCTGCTCATGCTGTCTCTCTCTCTC